TTGGGTTGATGTAATCAGCTCTTTGCGCAATAACAACGACTGAAATCTCGTCCGAATACCCCTTCCATGTTATTTCCGTCATGGCAGTCTCGTCCAACCTCTATTTTTCCTGCTTTTGAGAAGCCATATTTTCCTCGAAATCAGCAAATTCGCTCGCGTTCTTCACAGGCGATGAACCATTCCCAATCTAAACTTCCGCTTTTCGAATAAAAACGGGTACCTCAAAATTATCGTGAACGGTGCCTTTAAGAAACCGAGGAAAGTCTGAAGTAAATATGTCAAACAAAACCGGTGGAAGTACCCCACCTTGGGGTACTCCTGATTTTACGGTACGATCTGATGAGAAGGAGCCCTTCACTAAAACTTGAAATGTTCTAATATACAAAAACTCTTTTATCCAAATCCTCACCAGAGGATGGAAAGCGAGATGTTCCAGCTTTTGAATCAATAACTCATGGAAAACCTTATTGAATGCTTTTTGGAAATCAAAACAAACCACATCTACGCTTTTCCCCGATCCAAAGAGGTTGTCCAGTCACTGAGACAATCCAGTAATGAAGTCTCAATAGATCTACCTTTACAAAAACCATGAAGGGGAATTCGGAATTATACCGAACTTATCAAGATGAGGAACCATGTATTTCCTGAGGATTTTTCAAAAACTCTGGCAAAAATAGAGGCCTATAGTTTTCAGGATCAGAGGGTGGTTCTTTTTTGGGCAGCGGAATGACTAGCATGTTTGCATCTGCGAGGCACTTCACTGTCAATGAAGCTAAGATTAAATAGGAACTCAAGAGGACCAGTGATTTCATGAATGCATTGCTTGATTACTAAGTATGGTAGTCCATCAGGGTTATTTGAGGCTGATGAAGCCCACTCAAGCAGAATCGCAATATCCTCTTTATAAAACCAAGGAGCAGGGTCAATGCCATCAATACCAGGATACAACGAGGCTTCAACACAGGACAAGATGAAGCAAAGGCCTTTTCAAAAGTATCGGCTAACATCTCAGCTTTGTTTTCATCAGTTACTGCCCTTACTGAATCCTTGCATAAAGTAGCAATGCATGGCTTATCTGAAAGCCTCGAATTCAAAATAGAATAGAAGCCTCTTATCCCACCCTTGGACAACATTTTGGCCTCAACATAGGCGTAGTACTTACTCAGTTTCTTAGTGTACTTCTTATCTGATAGTTTATATCTTTCCCATTCCGAAGGCTGTTGCGTATTCACGGCTGAATTCCAAAGCTGTTCCCTTCTGTTCCACAATGATACAAGATAAGGGGGTAACTTGGACATTGATGGAGAGAGTCTTTTAAAAGGTATGAATAGATCCATCGCATGGTGTATGATCACGGGAAACATTTCATATTTAGCATCCACTCCATTCGCGCTCCTAAAGGAACGTAACCGAATGTTCAGAAAGTGATATGAAAAGCTTTATACTAGAGTGATCACTGCTTCCAATGGGAGAGACCTTAGAGATGGAGTGCAGTAATGACGAATTGTTGCATAGTAATAAATCGAGAAATGAATCAAATCTAGTTGGGAATGAGATAAATTGAGTAAAGCTATGAGCGGCAAAGCATTCCATGTACTTATTTCCTAGGCAATCGTTGGTTTTAACTCGAGGAAACCAATTAATTTGCGGGAGATTGAAGTCTCCAGCAATAACACAGGGTTTATTGGAGGAACATAGATCACTAAGGGTCATAAGAAGCTGATTGCTGTAAAAAGAAGAGCAATTAGGTGCTCTGTAAACAGCATTCAATCTTATTTCCTCAAAGCAGAAAGCTATGTCGCAAGCCAGAATTTCATAAGAGTTTTGAATAGTATCACTTAAAACAACAGTCGTAGAATGCTGAGGTTTTACTAGTATGGCCACTCCACCTCCCTTTTTAAACTTTCTATCAGTTCTGAAACATGTGTAATGTGAAGCAGCAATACCTAATAGCGAGGCAATCTCATGCTTAGAATTCAACCACGTTTCAGCAAGAATGGCGAGGTCGCAGTTTTCCTTACAAAGGTAAGCCGTCAAAGCATCTGCGTTTTTAAACAATGAACGGATATTGGCATAGAAACAATTCAAGAAAAACCTAAATGGCCGAGGAGATTTTATGCGTTTACCGAGATATTACCATTAGGCAATGAACTAGGAGAATCTATCTGAGTAAGCTCGTCAACATGCCTAGAAAGGTGAGTGGACTTATTCGAGTTCAAGTTGGCCAAGCGCGCTTCGCGGGTACGCGCTCTTTTTTCTTGAAAGGGGGAGGGACGGATGAAGAACCCTTTATGGAGGAACGAACGTATTATCATATTTACCAAGGCGATATACAGTGACGGGAATGCATTGAACATCAAGATGATTGAGTATCGTATTAACTGCGTTTAAATCACGATAAGCCCTATCAGCCGATGATGTGGAAGAAAACTCAGGTATTCCCGAAACGACGATGGAACGAGATCTTTCTAATTCGCTCTCAACAGGTTTTGAGTCGGAATTACGAGGCAAAGAGGTTGGAGAGAGCTCCTTGGAGTATGATTGGGATTCTCTAGTTTCTAAGAGTTTCTTAAGCTCAGCGTTCTCCTTCCTAAGTTTTTCGTTCTCTTCTGATAATTTACTAGACCATTCACTGACCGCCAACAACTGATCTCTAGTGTCCTTGAGCACAGCTAGGATGATTTTGACATACTCAGGAAGTTTCTTATCCGAATTGATTAATTTCAACAATTGATCGTCCTTGCCCGAGGGATAGCATTCAGCATTTTTTTCTCTGAGCCGTTGGAACAGGAAGAGTTCTAGGTGCTACCATTGATGAATGACGATCCTCTTAGACAGTTTGGAAAAACCAAGCACACGAAATAGAAATAAAGCTCAAACAATTCACCTGTACTTGTGGCTATGAAATAAGAAATTCCGATTACCGCCACAAGGAATCTCGGTTATATATTCTTCAACAATAAGGTGCTTCCAGTATTGTCAAATAGATGATAAATAACCAGTCAAAGACGGGCGAATTGATTAAAAACAGAGAATCGAGGGAGGGCGAGCGTCGGTAGTGGCCAGGATGCGTGCGTCTCCAGTGGGCTTCATGGTAAGGAATGGAATCCGATTTCACGCTCTAGCTCCGCCCACCCAGCGCAAACCCCGCCCACTTTGAGAATTCGACTCTGCTTCATTTGTAGGCTCCGAGCACTTTTTTCGGCGCTCTAGAACCTTTTTGTAGAGAATTAACAATTTCACGCGCTAGCCCCGTCCATCCCAGTGCGAATTCCGTCCACTTTGGGTATTTGATCACATTTCTCCAAAAACCTCTGATCACTTTTTTCCCGCGCTCCAGATCCCTTTTGAACAGAGTTATGAATTTTTGACCCTACCTCCGCCTACCCTATTGCAAACTCCGCCCGCATTGGGAATTGGTCCAATTTCCTTTGATAGCACCTGACCTCTTCTTTTCGCGATCTAAAGCATTTTTAGGGAGTTGTATATTGTTTTAATTAGCACCTTACGTTCGAATGCACGCCCTGCCCATCGTGGGCGGAGCTTCACTTAATTAATTATGTGTTCGACATGCTTGATGCACTGCTCATTCCTTTTAGTTTTTTTTCCTGGCTTCCACGCCCTCGACGAATCGTGTTAGGAACCTGTGGAGGAAGTACCGCCCATTGCGAGGACGCTCCGCCCACTGCTCGTGGGTCTCCTTCTAATTTATTAACCTATTCCTCACCTTCCCCCTTTTTTATCGGTGTCTGGACCTTTTCGAAGCCAAAATAAGACGTTTGGCCATTCGCACCGCCCATTCTGGCATTTGCCCCGCCCCCCGTGGGCTTGATTATATGTAGTAAGGATATCCCACAGGCGTCTGTTGATTGTAACTAGGGACGGTAGCGGCGTCACCGCAGTTGATATTTTGATCATTATACCGGAAAATGTTCGCCGGGGATCTTGGCCCGACGCACGAATGATCTTCCTATTGTCCGCAGGAGTGGTGAACCTTCCCATGCTGGCTCACTTGATGGAACCTCTGCAAAATTTGATCTTCCAATTACCTTCGCAGTTGTAGACCTTGACACTAGAAACTGCTCCGAAGGTTGAGCATGCGTTAATCCATGCATGCTTCCTGTGGCAATGGCGGAAAGCTGTTCTTAGGTCAAGGAACGAGATCCTGGTATTTGTCTCATTACTGAATGAGACTACTCACTACTAATGTAACAGAGGATCTTCGAGCAGCTTAGATTCAGAAAACTCAGAAATCCCACTAGAATCAAGCTTATTCCGTAACTTTTAGAAAAAGACGTCCAGTTGGCGGGATGTAAGCTACAGCGTATCCCGCATCGCAGGAGATTTGGTGATATTTGGAAATGTTGCTACCATAGATTTAGTCGAAAACATCGCTTCGAGATGAGTTATGACAGGAAAGGTTCATGATGATTTCTTTTTGACCAGTACCATAAGGAACCATCTCTATCGCGAACGCTGCTTTGGATGCTGTTTAGTCGGTTAATAGCTTCAGTATTCCTTCCTTAATTCCTTCCTGCTTTGGAATGCTGTTTAGTCGGTTAATAGCTTCAGTATTCCTTCCTTAATTCCTATTGAAAAGCGCCATACCTACTTAACTGGAAACTTCGGGTTGTTCAAAACTAGAATCATTATTGTTTACATCGATGGTGCTTTACTGAACATGAAAAAACAAGTCCTTGACGCCGTCGACATGATGACCAAGCGCGCATCGTATAATTCTATTCAATTTTGTGCTTCCCTTTTTACATTTGACGATCTGCTGCTTTTGGTTTTTTTTTTACAATTTTCCGTCGTTCACCATTTTTATGTTTTGCAAGTTTTTTATCGTCTGCATTCCACAAACCTTCAAATCATGCATGTATTCGCACTTTGTGTGTACTGTGATGTGATTCTTTTCCAGTTTGCCCGAGGAGAAGTATAATGTCATTAATGTCTTCTCTCTGGCGTCAGGCCAGCTATACGAAAGGTTTCTGAACATCATGATGGTATCTGTGGTGAAGAATACGAAGAAGCCCGTCAAGTTCTGGCTGTTAAAAAACTACCTTTCACCTCGATTCAAGGTTGTCCTACTGCTTCCTTCTTGCAACAATGAAATGTGTATAGCATACATATGGCATGCAGGAAAGTCTCCCAGTGCTATCACATGAATACGGATTCGATTATGCGCTTGTTGAGTATAAGTGGCCGAGATGGTTACACCAACAGAAGGAGAAACACAGGATCATGTGGGGGTACAAAGTATGCTGAACATCTCGCTTACTGACCGTTCCCCGCCATTATGCATTTCAGTCTGCCTTCCCATTCAGATTCTTTTTCTCGATGTTTTGTTTCCTTTGGATGTTGAAAAAATCATCTTTGTGGATGCCGACCAAGTTGTTCGTGCTGACCTAATGGAATTAATGGAATTCGACCTCAATGGTGCACCATACGGGTCAGTACTTTTGGAAATTTATGAGTGTTTGTTATGAGAGTTAGTGCGCTCATTCCATCGTATTCGCCATGGTTTGGAACACTCCAGTAGTGCTACTGCCTTTCTACTTCTCTTTAAGCAGAACAACTTGCACCCAGATCCGTCCATCCAGTTTTTCAAATTCCTTAAAGTATTATTTTTAACACTATGGGCTAGTGATTCCTAAGAAACTAGAATGTGATGCTTTCGCAAGTAAATCACCGAGAAAGTACGCAACATTGAGATGCGTTGATTGCACAAAGCGTTTATGTCCACCAGTAAAAGTCGTTTCTTGCCGCTGGGAAAATATAAATTTACCTTTTTCTGCATACATCACATGATACTGCCCGAAACGGGTTCCGATTCTTCACCAAAAGCTCGAGAAAGTTCAGAAGTAAAGAAGAAAAAGAAAGGAAGTACATACAGTAGCGCTCGAAAGTGTTCGGCCCAATGCTTCTTCACTCGTGCTTTTCAGTCGTAACTCCTTTCCTACTTGATGTAATCATGCGAAATTTCAATATGTGTAGCAAGGGTGTACTGTGAATATTGACCACTATTAACCTGCAATCTGTTCATATTCCAGATATCCCAAAGGGCTTGAACTCAAAATCAAGTGGAAATACGAGTGATGGTCCTTCTGGAATTTCTTTCCCTTCTGACATGTCCGAAGCGAACGAGCGTTGATGCCGAACACAATAGATGAGAAAAACGCAAATAAAGTGCGAATAACTGCAGGCGTCGCTAACTTTGCTTGTCAAATAGTGTTGAATGTGAGATATGCTTTACTTAAACATATCAAAATTTCGCGCGATTTGGCCACCGAGAAAAACGTTACGGCCAAATAAGCATTTGGCCGGGTACTTTCGAGCGCTGCTGTAGGAGGCGAGCCCTTGCAAAAGCAAGGATGTCACTTGGTCAGGGGAAATCACGGCAGTGTTGCATTGCTGTCCAGAATATTTTAAGGTAATGAGTTGGTACGCATACGTATTTGTGCTTCGTTGGTGAAGTTGGCTTGAAATTGTTGTAGAAGTCAAAATCAGTTCCGAGGAAGGGCGCAATCAAAAATTGAGTCGTCGAGTTATTAGTTATTTGAAAGAGGGGCAGTGTTGAGCTGAACGTGACTTGTTTCAACGGGAGTAGCCAAAACCGAGGTTTAAGACTTGAAGCGGAAACTATAATATTTCAGGATTTGAATAAAAAAGTTTTCAGTGTTGAGCTAGCCGCGACGGCAAGTCCAGCTCCAAGGTAGTTGAGCAGGAACTGCAGAGATCCATTCGGTACTTACCAGTTTATCGCACCACTATTCGCTGTGAGCTATGTATCCACTATTCGCTGTGAGCTATGTATGAATGGCGCTAGGCGGCTCAACTTGAAGGAGGCCTGGATTCTAGAGAAGACTGGGAGAAAAATCGTCACTGAAAGTGGTCAGACGTGCTGTGCTGCGAGTGAAGTAAAAGAGTCATGGAGATTACCATTGGGCTATGGATTCATCTGAGAAATGCAGCTCACTAAGAGGGCAACTCGCCCACTTTCTTAATTTGTTGACTAGTTCATTACTACCTCTTACTTTTCAAGCGTGTGGGCTGTTCTGAAAAAGAAGTTTTGCCCTTTGCACCTTCCCGTCCAAAGCAATGTCTCTTTCCGTGTGTGGAGTTTTGCAGAGTGGACTGCTCCTTTTATCTTGCCCTATACACAAATTATCTAGATTTAGACCCGTCCTCTTCATGCTTTTACTAGTATTATTGAATTTCGTGACAGGTAGGCAGACGCGAGCGCTGTAATAGGTTGGACGGACCATCCACCATCATCGTCGAGTATTTTTTACGAACCTTTTAGTAGTTCGTAAAAAACTGCGTAAATTCAGTTTTGGCTCAAGCGCGAGTGTTGATGCCTTGAACAATCAGTAGTCGGAAGGAGTGATACCTTGCAAAAAAATATGCGGATGGGTGTATACATGGTGTGATGATGAATGCACTGAGTATGATAGAAGAATTTGAAAATAGTGGACAGAGAAACCCGCAAGTGCTGGGTCGAACGCTCTTTCCACTTGAGCGGACTTCCTTTTCTGCCGATGGTGAATGTTCTGTTTTGTGCTGTAGAACGGGACATTTTGGTTCAGAGCGGCCATGACGTTCAGAAGGTATTTTATGTAGTGATCTTAGCAAGAAGAACATGGCTACTACATGGAAGGGTATTTTCCTGAAGTATTGCTCATTGAAGTACGCTGCGCATGCATAGGCTCAGCAAAGCTCCGCCCATGATGGGAGAGGCGTGCATTCAAATGAAGTTTCCTACTATATATAAACCACAAATGTCCGTCTGTCCGTATATTTGTCTGTTTGTCTGTAACTATCTTATATGACGCCGCTTGGAAATCAACTGGAGCAGCTCAGACAGGTCCGAACAAATGGGGATTGGGGATGAACAGGTGCGGAATGAGCCGGATTCCTTGGGTACACGTGACTCAAGCTGGGCTCCGCCCACTAGACGGTGCGTGCGCGAAGTGTAGTTCACCGGAAATCTGCAGCTCCTGTTCTGCTAGGCCTTGAGTATTCGAATTTAGCAGAGATGCAGGCGGCTAGATGGGAAAACTAATGGCAGGTGGCAGGTGCAGACTCCGCCCCCTGGGGGCAGGGCTTCCGCATAAACATTTGATTTGGACGTGGGGCGTTCAAATTTGGCAAAGGTGTAGGCGACAAGACGGGAAAACTGATGTCAAACAGCAGGTGTAGACTCCGCCCACTGAGGGCGGAGCTTCCACATAAATAGTTAATTTGGACTTGGGTATCCAAATTTTAGAAATGCAGGCGGCAAGTTGGGGAAACTAATGATACTTGGCGGGAGTAGACTCCGCCTACTGGAGGCGGGGCTTCCGCGAAGATATTTGGTCTTGACCTGGGGTGTCAAGAATGGTAGAGATGCAGGGACAAGACAGAAAAACAAATGGCAGGTGGCAGGTGTAGGTTTCGCCCGCTGGGGGCGGGGCTTCCACATAAATACTTAATTTGGACCTGGAAAGTTCAAATTTGGCAGAAATGTGGACGGCACGATGGGAAAGCTAATGGTAGGTGGCAGGTGTAGACTCCGCCCACTGTTCAAAGTGTTCTGGAGAGCGGAAATAGTGGCCAGGGGTCAGAAACAATTTTGTCAGTTCCCAAAGTGGGCGAGATGTGCACTGAGGATATCGAGACTAGATTATGAAGTTCATGACTCGGTTCAAAAAAGAAATTTAAAAAATTGTTGTCAATTTCTAAAGTGAACAGGATTTCGACTGGGGTGGGCGGGGCTCAGAGCAAAGATTCATAACTCTGTTCAGAACAGTCCTACAACCCGGAAAATGTGGTTGGAGTTTGTAGAGTAGATCTTTCTGTGTGTAATCGATTCAACGTTATCAGCAACATTAGATGTGTCCAGTCGCAGCAAAAAGAGTGCTCTCAAACGCAAACGGTATACTCACAATATATAAACCGCAGATGTCCGTCTGTCTGTTTCTTTTTCTGTCTGTCAGTTTGTCACCAGTTTATGCGGTACCTACCTACCAATGGCAGCCGGCAGGTATAGGCCGCGCCCACTGGGGGCAGATCGTGCGGAAAATTGTTCTTTTAGAGCCGGAGCGGTCAAATTTGGAAGGGACTCGAGCAGCAGGATGGAAACACTATAGGTTAAGACTCCTCCACTAAGAGTGGTGCGCTCGCAAAACCGGCTTTCTTGAAGTCAGAGGACTGAAATTTGGAAAGGATACACGCGGCAAGATGGTAAGTCACTAATGGTAGATGACGAGACTGGACGTCGGGAGGGAGTGGGAGAAGGTGAAGCCCAGAACCAACATCGAAGAGTGTCAAAAGTTAATTACGGGGTGAGTTGCGTTTCTAATGCCGAGATTACTCATCGCACGCACAGCACTTGCGACCCACCACCCCTTTGCGGTTGAGGATGAGCAATGTTATCATAAGTATATTTTCTTCTGAGAATTCAGATCACTTTTTTCTTTCGATTCTTTAGTTTGCGCTCAAGATTAGCCTTCAGACATGTTTCATGCACTTTTAGCCTTTGAATGCTCTTCATTTTCTGGAGCATATCTAACTGCCATCACGGGTAAGTGGTCTCAATTGTTAGGAGTCATTACATTGGAGTCTGGTTTTACTCATGCGTTGAATTTCGTTGTGCAGCACATTTTACGGGGTGACCACATCATCTCGATCATAAAATCTCAATTCTCCCGTGATTCACGGTGTGGGGAAGTTTTGCGATACACCGATATCCTATATCAGTTGATGCGCAAGAAAAACGCTGGTAGAAACCCTAGGTGGTTCTCGAGGGGACAAGGAAGCATGGTTTCGGAACGATGAATCCAGCGAGTTGTTAGGCAGAAGAAATCGGTCTACAAGCGCTGGTAAAAGACGCGAGCTCCAGAAGACCCGACTGCGTGCAAGACTTCCAAGAAGTTTGCCAAGGCTGCAATAGCGAATCCAAATATTTTGGAGATAGTTGCCTTCTACGGGAAGCTCAATAGTCAAAAAAGAAAGGTTTTTTTTCGGCTGGCGAAGGCGCACCAGCGGGCTACTCAGGGCATCGGATTTGTGAAGACTTTCAAGAACAGCAAGGGTGCAATCTCGATGAAGACTGGTGGAGTCGGGCGTAGGTGAGCAATAAGAGAATTGAAGGTGGGATGGCAACTGGTCCAGATGGGGTACCGATCGAGGCATGGAATAGGCTCGGAGAGCACGGGATGAAGTGGTTCACCCAATTCTTGAACACTGACCCCTGAAGGAAGGAAACTACATGCGTAGAGGAGCAGTACTATCCTACAAGTTTGGCGAATTGTGGACAGAACTTCAGCTTCGGACGGGACTCGAACTCGCACTCGTGCTTTCACTTGCTTTTCTGCAGTGAAATGACAGCAGTCAACAAAACATCATGACAAAGCAGTACTATCACTTCCATCTTCAGGCAGGAGGGGGACGCGATGGAGTGTTCCAACAACCGCGGGATAGTTTGACTGCTCGCACGGTGAAACTG